CATTCGAGAGCAAAGGGTAACTTCAAGGCGAATGTCTGTCCGGTTCAGCAGAAGTGATCCACTGTTGTGCTGTTTATTATTAGATGTCTCCCCGAAAGAACTGCAAATGTAGGAATTGCTGTGTATCCGTTACAATAGTCAATAATGTCTTCAATGGATTATTAGTGTAGAATCTTGAGTCATGGGTCTTGAGTATTGAATTGTGCTCCTTGCATTGTTTTGATCTTACCTCTTCAGTTACAACTGCCATATGGGACAATTGAAAGCCTAATGAAAAAGCACGGTACTTTACTTTTAACGCTACATTTCCAATCCCTTAGCTATCTCTGTATAATGCATATCTGCCATCATAGAATTGCCAATGTCAGGTCTTTCCAGGAAACATCTACTTTATGACATTAATTCCATACTTATTGCTGATTTCAAAAACTGATTCTTTTAAGTTTACATTCCTTTTGAACCATGAAATTGTGCTTCGCTCATCACATGAGAATTTATGACAGAGATCAATATTCAAGGCATTTTGAAAAACACATGTTGTTTCCAAATATACAGCATACCTTGTTACCAAATAAAAAGGAGAAATATCAGTAAGTCCAGAGAATAATGTTCATTGGTCATTTAAGCATGTCATGTGTTGGGCGGATTTGCATGAGGCTTGATGATAGGTTTCCTTAGAATGGAAATGCCAGTCAGCTTGTGCATGTGTAAATGGAGTGACCCTGCGTGGAATGCTGTCCCCCGGAGACAAGGAAAGGGTCTGATTGGTTCCCTGGGGACTGGGCTGTGTGGTTTGCAGAGCTAATCCCCTTGCTGGAAGGCAGGGGTGCTGTCAGGTTGTGACTAATGTGGATGCAGGTTTGATCTATATTCTAATTTTATAGAAAGCATTAAGGATTTAGAGAGGGAAGCTTGCTCGCTGATCAGGATGTGGTGGTCACTAACCCAACAACCAAAAAGCCATGAAAATTGCATTCTAATCTTCCTTCCAAAGTATTTAGGCAGATATCAGTTTGTCATGCAATATATGTTATTTTAAAGTATATTTTATTAGTAATGTAATTTTTCATCATTTACCCTAAACATTTAATCACGTGACTCAGGGTAAGGGAGACTCAAAATTTCATTATTTGCTTTGCTAGCAATGCTACACCTAACCCAAAGCCAGTGACAAGACTTTGTTAAGCTTTCAAACGAGTAAATGACTGAGCTGGTACACTTTGCCAGCCCTGGACCGGGAGCTCTCAGCGGTAAAGTACTGAGCAGTGTGTCAATGCATGTTCCATACCATTCCTGCAGATCAGCACGCCTCTATTCTGGCTTAGACAGGCTGCTTCCTTTATCCTATGTGTCTGTGAAAGACTGGTTGCCTCTCCTTCATGTCCCCTGCCTTGTGATAGACTGGCTCTCTGTCCTTCATGTCCCCTGCCTTGTGATAGACTGGCTCTCTGTCCTTCATGTCCCCTGCCTTGTGATAGACTGGCTCTCTGTCCTTCATGTCCCCTGCCTTGTGATAGACTGGTTGCCTCTCCTTCATGTTCCCTGCCTTGTGATAGACTGGTTGCCTCTCCTTCATGTTCCCTGCCTTGTGATAGACTGGCTGCCTCTCCTTCATGTCCCCTGCCTTGTGATAGACTGGCTGCCTGTCCTGCATGTCTCCTTCATCTATCTCACCGTGTATTCCTTTCCATGCCACTTTTAACTGTAGGTAGACTGTCTAATGTTAAAGTATGTGAAATTTCATGTGAAGATACTTGTAAACTGCCCTGAAATTACCTTGTATATTTGTTTAACATTCTCGGCTAATAATGAACTTTCTGATGCTAATTCTGATTCCAGAACTTGAACTTTTAGAGGTTGATAATGTTGAAGCTGATGATTTCAGCACAGGGGTCCACGATTAGCAGTATAATGCCTACACAAATGAGCACAGAGATAATCTCATGGAGATATAAACAAAGATTCTTACAGCTGTTTCCGTGGCCACGCTTCCACATGGGAGTCCTGTCAGTGGGAACAGGAATTCCCGTCACGGACACATCTCTAGCTCAAGTTCCGCTGCAAATAGCAGCCTGAGATGATTCTGCAGCCCTTCCTTTGCAGTGATAAGTCCGCTTTGGACATTTGCATCGTAAGCAAACCGGCTTTGGCAGATTCCTGCGATTATGGGACAAGACTCTATCAAATAAAAACAGAAGAGGAACGCTCACTTCCAAACAAGCGAAGCAGAACTTCCCGGTTACCGCTAGGTGAATGGCTCTCCTCTAAGTGATATAATAAAATATTTGCAAATCAAGAAAATTGTGCATTAAAATAGTTTAGAGTAATTTGTCCTTTTTTTTGTTTCGCACGCAGGGACCATCTGCAAAACCTTTGTGTAAGGGAGATACTGATGATGCAATGTGAGTCAGAGCTGTGAGAGGCAGCGGGAGGGGGACGGATGGGCCGGCCTAGTGTGTGGGACATGTTCTGGCTGCCCAGGTCAGCGGGATGCCCAGAAGACCCGTTCTCCTACGTAAGAGGGCTGAGTCCAGACGTCAGGCCCGCGGAGCGCTGGGTCGTTTTCCAGAAACCCTGCGAGGGGAACGAATTGGAGCAAGTGAGAGAGAGATGGAGGAAGAAAAGGCGGGGGCGTTGGCTGACGTGAAATCGAGCGGGAGCTTTCCCCCCAGTCGCATCGCTACTCCTGCCAGCTCATGCCGCCGACCAGTGCTGTTGCTTCACTGTACTCTGGGAGAAGTCGTAATAAGCGCATCCCCCCCCCC